TTGAGACACTGAACCGAAAACGCCGTTAAATTGAAAGCGAAACGTGTACTTACATCGAGAGGAATACAGCCCCAGCAGCAGCAAAAAGGCATTGCTCCTGGATCATTACCCAGTTCGCTTACGAGTTGCTTGATGATTCCCTGACCGAAGAGACTGTAATAGTGAACGGTATCCCGTTCATCATAAGCGTGCTCGTTCGAATAATCAATGCCTACTATCGGCATGATATGACCAGCAAAGAACTCATCAACTTTCGTGCGAAACATGACAGGAAACTCTTGGAGTAAACATTGTTTTATCCACAAGCAATAGGCAGAGAATTGAGGTCGAGGTGCATTCTCGTAATCCCATGCATCGTAGGAAAACTTGAGTGTCGTGAGTGTGGCTAGTGGATCGCCTCCGCCTCCTCCGCCTTGTGGTCGTCGTCGTTGGTCATCTTCGAAAGTCACATGGTGAATTAAGTATTCACCGTGGTTCACATCTCGAACGAGTTGTTGTGATATCCAAGCGCCATTGTAAAGACCTAGTCCATCAAGAACGTATGAATGACGTGAAAAGACGTAGAGAACTTACCGAACGCTTGCACAGTAGTCTCGCCGCAGTATCCGTCTAGAGGAACATAAGCGAAAGGGAATGGAGAGGTGACAAGAGACCGGCAACTCACGGCCATGAGACCACTGTCTACGAGGTGGAATATCCAACCGAACAGACGATGTCATTATGTTAAGTTACTTCTCGACGTCTCGACTTACGTTTAAAAAGAAACAGGAATGATGCGAGCAGAATTAGTCATATAATTCTTATCAACAAAAGGAAGGAGAACATACTTTGTGACAAAGGTATGACGGTAATTTCATGGGGAAGCTGCCACGTATACAGTAATAATCTTCGACTTTCTTCAAGCTGGGGTGAGAGTGGGTGAATTTACGAGGAAATTTCAAGCTACTTACGACGATCGTTTCAAATGAGATTGAATCCATTCGTCGTCAGGTTAATTCGGAATCATCCAATCTGCATCGAATCTTTCCGATCTCAAATTCAAAGGAAAGTTACAAGAGTCAAAATTATGTGTTTCTGTGGTGATTGAAAATCGTGAAAACACAAATGCTCGTTTGCGATCATACAGTACACATTTGGGTCCTTGTGGGCGTTAGTAGGTCAACATTAACAGCGATCAATTTTGATTCTGTCGAGAAGCGTACATTTGTTAAGGAGTGATAGCGGAGACTTCGATGCAAGGTGGAAACAGCGGACTCCGGGACTCATGGGACTTTCGACGTCCGTTCATTTCCCAAAAAGAGAATGTCAGCGCTCTGTTTTTTTCCCTCGACTGAAAGGAGGGTCTTACGAAATAAAAATGAGTTTGTTTGTCTGTCTCTCTGTTTGTCTGTAACCGGGTCAAGAGAACATTCTCGGTAAGCAAACAAAATGTGAGAATTTTGGATGCTCTGAAGGATAACTCGACGTGGGGAACACCGATCCAGGGTCTAAACACCTCGAAAATCCATTGGTCAACCGGGAGCCAATGGAAATCAAGCACGCCGAAAACAAGTTTTTTTAAGAAATCTCGATGCGGGAAACACGAATCCGGGGTCCAAACACCTCGAAAATCCGTTGGTCGATCAGAAGCAAGCGTAAACCGAGTTCGCGGGAAATGAGGCGTTCTGGACACAGAGTAGATACAAACATAAACAAGACTAGCCGTGAGTGGCGTCCCGGAGGGGCGCTGACGAACGAATAGTCGCTGATCTAGGGAAGGTCAGTTTTTATATAATGGTTTCCTCTCACGTAAGACAACATATGAACTAGCATTGAATACTATAAGTGATCTTTCATATTCGCATCGAATGGCCGCCAGCCGGACGAGACAGATATTTTGTGTTCATAGTTTGAACATAATAACTATGAACGCTGAGCTGAAGACAGGTGTCGGCGACGCATAGTTGGACATCACTACAATATCCACGGGGAAATCAATATAAGTCACATTGAAAAGCATTCGAATAGTCTCTTAGGTCACATTCGATCCATTCAGAGTTGTCTGAGCTAGTGAATTGCGGGATAGGTAGACTAGCGACTGCGATCCCATAGGCTCTCTTGGTGAAAACTTAGAGTAAAACACATGGAGATGTTGGCGTGGACTTCAATATAGAGAAACGGGAACCTTTCAACTCAGCTCGCCGAAATGAAGAGCTGATGTGGAATTACCATTGAAATGAAGAACGATGTACTGAGGACAGCTGTAGAGCTAAAGCTTTTCTTTTGAAACAAATCCTCGATTCTCGTCTCGGTACTCATTAGGAAGAGCCGTAAGATCATTCAAAACTATTCTGAATATTTTGGATAAGAGCATTTTCACAGGTGTCATCTAGCTAATCGTGTGTTAAAACGATTAAGTAATTGAGTAAATATAACGCGGATAACGCAGGGCCGACGAGGGTCTGCATGTCTTGCTTCAGACCAAAGGACTCTTGGTAGTAGTGTTTAGTGTAGTACTTGCTCCTCTTCAGAAAAACATCTCTGAATAATGCACTATGTGCATGTCAATACTCTGCTTGATTCACGTATGAGAACCGATTCAGTATATTCATAAAAAAGAAAGATAGGACCATCGTTCAGATGGGAGAGGATAACGCAGGTTTTTCGACAGAAAAGTAGCAGAGAGTTCAGTTTAGGTCATGTGTGTCATGTGAGTGTTGAATCGGATGTGCTTTCGATGCACGCGTGAGTCTTCCGAAGGAAAGAATCAACTCAGTATTTATATGCGATCCCTGTCTCAGTGACGTATTCTCAATATGGACTATATGCGCGCTCTGACACGACAATCGAGAAGTGAAGTTGGAGGTTGAATCCATCATTGTAGCAGGTATTCTTGATCGTATGTGATAAAGTATCGTGTTTTAAATGGGGCATTAGAAGATGGGTGAGGTTTTGGGGAATGCCGTCAGAATTCACTCCGTTTTCATTCGAAGCGTAAGTATTTTTCAGAACAGCTTCGAATGAATGAGTGTCGGTGTGCATTGGTATTTTTACTAGATGGCTTTCTATCCATCCGAAACATTTAGATGATTTTTCGAAGATAATAAAGATGTGTTCGTGGACGATTGAAGTTAATAGTGATCAATATAGGCAGAGAGGGCCTCATGATACCGCTGTAATTTTTTTTATTTATTCCGACTTAGTGACTTAGGGAGACAAATGTCACCGGGAAAAGCGATTTCAGAACGTTCAGTCGAGGATCAAGCGAGTCATAGCGACGCGCGTTACTTGTGTCTTGAGTGTTTTGATGATAAGCATTATGCTTTGAAATAATGGATTCAGAAAAAGTACTGAAAGCAGCAGATATGGCATCTTATGTTTAACCTCCTGCTTAAGAAAAAAGCAAAAGAAAGTGCTTTTCTAAATAGTTTCTCGTTAAACTGTAGCGTCGCCTCGAATGTGTTGACAATTAATAAAATGTGTGACTGAAGCTCATTACTTTTGTCTAACATATATTTGACAGTAGCAGTTCTACTTTTCAAATGCTTATTTTCTTGATCACGAAGTCGATGAGAAATTGTCGTCATTTTTTATATTGATGTGATAAACATCTATTTTTACACTTTTCTATAGGTAGAGCTAAACCAATTCTTACATCCTATGAATCATCGTGTTCATCTTTCGGAATTTACTGCGTTGGTTTTTACACCGTTTGTTTTTAATTAACTGTGTAACATAGCTTGTCTCTTGATCAAATCCTCTATTGAAGGCACTATTAACAGTATTAATCGCAGATTCAAATTACAAATTGTATTCCATAGGGTTAATTCGATGTTTAAACTATAAGAGAAGTTATTACGGGGGAGGGGGATTTTATCATCATTCTAACTAAGTAATCGAGCTCTATCGGCGAGAATAACTCCTGAATAGTTCTCTTGCGGATCAAAAAATGCTATCTCCGAGGCTGATTGAATCCGATAAGGTGATAATCTCTTGAATAAGTTATTATTATTAGAATTTACCATTCGTATTTTACTTTTTCTATATAGATAGTCAAATAGAAAAGAAAAATTAGTAGATACAATTAAAATAGCTGGTTCTTACAGTATCTATGTAGAATAAGCAAACGTAAACAAAGAAATATGACATCGGAAAAAAAACATGAAAAATGATTGTGAGTCTAGTTTATTTAGATAAACAGGATGCAAAAAGAGAGATCTTCAAGGAATAAAATACATTATATGCAGTTTGATGTTGATATATGCGCACCCTCATTCTCACCCTAGAATGTATTGGTTAGTGGTTATTTCTATGTTGAAGGTAAATACAAGTGAATACATTGAAACAAGTAGTTAAACCGATGGCTTCAACCTTCGTAAATGACGTTGGCTGAAGGTGTGCTCGGGGATCTCAGTCGGCTAATCTTGAGAAAATCTCGCAATCAAATGTCTGCCGTATACTTCTGAGAAAAGACCAGAAGTTGAAGGGTCTTCAGAATATTTGTTAACAAACGTTAATAAATTAAAAACCACAAGACGTACAACGAAAAATGGCAGAGATAATAGAGAGAAAGACTAACAAAAACAAAGAACAACAAAAACGGAGGAGAACACGAACTTATATAGTGAGAGATGAGAAAATCAAACAACCCAATAGAAAAGAAAAGAAACACATATATGTGAAAAGTTAGCGTCGCGTGGTGACATCCGTGGGCGCTAACAGTGATACGTTGGTTTTTAAATTTTGAAAAAGAAGTTCGTCTGGTAGCTGTTGAAATTACTTATTTATTGTTGAAATAAAGATTTAAAAAACCGTATGAATGATTGTTTCTACTACTTTGTCAAGAGAGTATCATCGTTTATGGAGGACAGGATGATAAAAATATGGGAATGTGTTCATGACACGTATGAATGACTCATCCGATACCGATTCTCATTACATTGTTTGACACTTTCTTTAATAATAGTTCTCGATGACGCTATGTCCAAAAGTATTTTAGTACATCGCATTTAGACTACACAATGAAACGATTTTTCGAAAACGTTAAAAAGAAAATCGATTCGAAATATGTTGCATTAGTCAAAAAAAAACCTAGTCAGCCAAATGTAACTTGGAAACATATCTGGCCGTTAGATGAAACCCAAAGTGCTCTCTCGAAATCTGTATTTGCTGAAATACCAAATGAAATCACCATACGTATGTTTAAATTCCTTTCGGTACCTGATTTATGCAAGGTTTCATTGGTTTGTCGATTATTTAAAATGATTACTGATCAAGATGGAATTTGGCAATTGAAATGTGATAGTAAGTACTGTGTTTTTTTACACTTGTAATTAACAACATGTTTAAACAGCATCGACCAAGTTATATTCGAAATCATTTAAAGAAGTTTATATGGATTGGATCTATCTAAAAAGTCTACGAAATGCACAAGTACAAACTAGGGATCGTTCGTACGCAACTTCTTGTATGGCAATTGAACTAGCTATATATCCTATTCGTCCAAACGGACAACGTCATTTTGAAATTGTTGGTGGATTTCAACAACATCCAAACTCATCAGAATCAACGTGAGATTTACTTCTTATCTTATTTTTAATACTGTTTTTTTGTAGGACTATCGAGCAATCAGTTGATATTGGAAAAACAGCTCGTCAGCTTATATTTCTTTTGGAAAAGGCATCTGAATTTCAACCAGAATGGCAACAATCGGTTACTTTGAAACAAATGATTACAAGATATTATAGATTTATGCAATTGAAAGCATCTCATCCGTCGCATATTTTGCTTATTCCAACTTTAGACATTGAACTCGTTTGGCAAACACATCTCTTACGACCAGAGATGTATCAAGCTGATTGTCTTCGTTTATTTCGTCGAATAATTGATCATTCATTATTGTTCTCTGATGTTCAAAATTTTTCCAAAGAACAAGCATTCAAAGATACTTGCCATCTATACGAACAACGATTTGGTGAACAGTATTGTTTATTTTCCTCAGCATCAGTGCATAATACAACGCCATATCGCCGAAAATTACGTCAATATCTGTTTGATTCATTTAGCGATACTGAGGCTAACTATCCTTATTGGGATAATACTCATTTCAAGTTTTCCCCTGAATCATCTAAAAGTTACGAAAATCCTTTCTCATTTGCCGAAGGTGATATCATTATAGATAGTCAATGGCTAGATTTATTCAAGAAATTTATGCTGGACGTCTTGAAAAAGGCTCCTGTTTACAGCACATTTGGAACTGTACCCGAAGAAATTGATCTACGATGTCGAGCAATCAACTTACTAACAAAATCGTACGAAAGATTTTTATATATGGCAGCTAAATATCCACCCGAAAATGGCAATGGTTTTATACTTCCAACTTATGCGGTAAAATCTTTAACACTAGTCAAAGCATTATTTTACTCATTTATATTTGTTTCTTTAGATCGATATCATGTGGCATTCTCATATGCAAGAACCACTGAAGTATGTTGCTGATTGTAATCGATTTATCGGTTATGTGCTTTATCATTCTCCATGGCCAATGATGGAAGATGATAAAATGAAGACAGCACGCAATCAATCGAATAATATTTGGAAAGATGAATTCGAAGTTGATATAACGACAGACCATCTTTTTGACACTTTCCTGACAAAGCTGACAAGAACAATTAAGAGAGGGTCCGCGAGGCCACTAGTCTACAGGGACGCCAACATTTTTTAGATTTTGTATTTAAGTATTCTAAAAAATACGTTGAAGAGTTATGATATAGGATCCAAAATATTAGCCCTTCTGGATCTACCTCGGCTGAAAAACGATTGTTGTAATCATAGGGGGGTCAATCGTGAAAATGCAAAAATTTTTCTGGATGGACCTTCCGAGAAAAAGGCAGATTGAAAGTTATCCGTCACTCTGGGCTATTTGTGTTATATATCAGAAGAAAGAGCGTTCTCTGCTCTTTCGAATGAGACTATCCTCGATCCTATCAGAATAGGATAACGCGACCAACCGAGGTCTACTTCAAACGAGATCAACAAAAAAACATTTTTTCTCGCGAATTTTTTAAGTACTTTGGGTGGGACTTTCTTATTCTGATAGTTCCCCAGAAAACCCGACCCATCAGCAGATAGCCCGTGAAAGCCCTCATCTCCTGGTATATAAAGGTCGATACTTCAACGTGGCCCGCTTACTCAATTCTTCAAAATGAAATGCATGATTACAGGCGAAATTCTCCGGTGTACACAACATCACCGATAATCCTCTCCAGGAACTTTTTCTGTGGCAGTGTCTCGGATCCTTGAAGAGTATCACGTTCGACGTAGAATGAGGCGGCGCATCTTTTGGCACCAAGTTTGACCCGTCTCTTACGTGAGCTCCTTGTAGGGGAGTCAGTTTTTCAAGAGGTATGTGGTTGAAAAATCATCCAAAACAGCATTGGAGTATTTCGCTCGAAACTAAGCGAAAATCAAAGCAACAGACTAGTGTTTAGTGTCATTCGAAAGTGCGTCTAACGCTGCTAGAATCCGATAGTTGATTGGCCGTTCGTACCGCGTGGAAGTTCTCTAGTATCCCGGGTAGTACGGAGCGACCTAACCATGATCAAAGAGTTATCCCTCATCAGAAAGCTAGTGATGAAATGACTCAGTTCACACTGTCCAGAGTAGTTTTTGACGGGCTACACGCTATTGAGGCTTGTTTCTCTATGTCCCCTGGGAGAGCATTACTCTGAGGCAAATCTCGCCAATCGGTGACATCAACATACATAGAATCACATCAGACGGTATCCTCTGCAATGAAACGAAAGAAAAGTGTCTCAATCAAGTCTTGTGAAGGGTCGCAGACGGATAACGATTGGTATCGAAGGAGAATTTTCAGTCCAGGATGATTGTCGGGTGATGGAAAGGCTTAACCGGTCTTTAGGTTAGACGCTCTCAGTTCCGCGATGAACATAGATTCATTGAGAAAGTTCTCGAGCAAGTGGAGTCCAGCGATCAAGGAAAGTGTGAGGGTGCGTTATCGACCAGATCATTATTCGGACTCATAAAACTATAGTCCCTGAATTCCAAAGCAGACTGTCACCTTCTTCCCTCACTATCGCTTTGATAAAGCCTATGTTAGAAATCCTGACCGATCGGGGTCCTCTGATCATTTTCCGAGGTCAAACATGTCAGAGACGTCGGTATCTATGTTTCGCCGGGCTTGTTTGTCTCAATGAATCACTCGAAAGCAAACGTACGATGAAGAAATGCGAGAAAATAGCATTCTAACGTAAGTGTAAATTTGGCTAGACGAAGATCAAATCGGTAGGAAAGGCAATATAGCATCTAAGAGCAGAGTAGAGAGGTTTATTGAGCAGCAGTGTCTCATTGCGGACATGATAAATTAAGAGTGTGGTTACATGCATCCTGTGTTTCAGTTCGATCTGTCAGATATCGCGAGCCCTCACGATAATACTCTACCGGCACATACCCATCTATTTAAAACTACAGGTTATTAGGAGAAAGTTACGTCGGTTCTGTTACTACCTCTCAGCTCAGCTCGATGTTTCATATTAAAACTGGTTCTTTTGTGAATTTAGCCTTTTCAGCATACGCTCTTACCAGGGCTACACAGCGTCTGTGATTCGATAATTCATGGTTCACACGTATCATTGAAAAGAAACTTCAGAAGCAGAGGAATCCAGAACGTAGATGTTCGGATGGAGCCAAGAACAATGTATTCTCAGAGATGTGTCTTATCTCGAATTTCTGGATACCTGCTACTGAAATCCACAATCGGACTGTTCAGTAGTCATCCAGTTACACCAGAATCGATTCAATTCACTTACAATCAGTTGGACAAGATTCAACTTCCTATTCCAAGTACTATTTATATTTTCATGAAATAACTCTTTGTAGTATCAATTAACTGAGTTTCTTTAATCTTTTCAAGGAAATGAGTGGCGAAAATAGGAAAATCAGACTGGATCCTAGCTCCTCATTTATCACACATTTTTCTTTCGTTTCGTTACTGAAGGTCCCGTCGGACGTAAGTCGATGTAGGTTGATGTCCTCGATTGGCGAAACTTACCTCAGACCTTTGTTGTCCAAGGAGACGGAGAAAAACAAATCCCGCCAGCATATAGCCCGTTAAAAACTATCCTGAGAAGTGCGAATTGAGTCATTTTATGACTAGTTTTCTGATGCGGGGTAAGTCTTTGATCATGGTGAGGTCGCTCAGTGCTATACGGGATGCTAGAGATCTTCCACGTGGTACGAACGACTAGTCAACTGTGGGATTCGAGCGGCGTTAGACGCGCTTTCGAATGACACCAAACACTAGTCTTTTGCTTCGGTTTTCGCTTAGTTTCGAGAGAAATACTTCACTGCTGTTTTAGATGATTTTCCAACCACAGACCTCTTGGAAAACTGGCCCCCCTCTACAACGAGAACACGTAAGAGATCCGTCAAACTTGGTGTCAGAAGATGCGCCGTCTCATTCTGCGTCGAGCGTGAAACTCCGCAAGGATCCGAGACGCTTCTACAGAAAAAGTTGTTGGGGACGATTATCGGTGATGCTGTGTACATAGGAGAATTTCGTCTTTAGTCACCCATTTCATTTTAAAGAATTGAGTAAACGGGCCACGTTGAAGCATCGACATTTATATACCAGGAGATGCGGGCTTTCACGGGCTATCTGCTGACGGGTCAGGTTTTCTGGGGAACTATTAAAATAAGAAAGTCCTACCCAAAATACTGAAAAAATTCGCGAAAAAAAGAAAAGTTTTTTTATCGATTTTGTTTGAAACGGACCTCGGTTGGTCACGTTATCCTACTCTGATAGGATCGAGGATAGTCTCATTCGAAAGAGCGGAGAATGCTCTTTCTTCTGATATATAATACAGATAGTCCACAGTGAAGAATAACTTCCAATCTGCCTTTTTCTCGGAGGGTCCATCCAGAAAAATTCTTGCATTTTCGCGATTGACCCCCCTGTGATTGCATCGATCGTTTTTCAGCCAAGGTAGATCCGGAAGGGCTAATATTTTGGATTCTATATCAGAACACCTCAACGTATTTTTTAGAATACTTAAATCCAAAATCTAAAAAATTTCGGCGGCTGTGTTACCTGGTGGCCTCGCGGACCCTCTTTTAAGGTAGTGAGTGTCAGAGTGAGAGAGCACCCGCATAAGGAGAGAGCGCCTTCTGGAGTTGTGTCTTGGACAGCAGCAGCCATAGATGAAGCAGGCATAGTGAGGCGGAATGAGAGAATGAAGAAACTTTCGAGGGAGGCTGACGGTCGACCAAAGAGCGCAGTGGAACTGTGGAAGAGGAACAGGGATGCACAGATGATCAGACCAATTATCCAAGAGTCTGAGCAAATGATCACAACTGAGGAGCAAATCACATCATCTGGCAAGGAAAGAAAGCAGTAGTAACTCTATTGTCCGTATAATCTTATTATCGTGGATAGGAGTTCTGTTTTGCTGATTTGCCAATACACATTGAGACAATGTGTTGTTCACCATCGTCGTCCAGCGATGACTGACAAGTAGGTATGGTGCAAACGCGCACTCAAAACCGAACCTTCACCTTCGTCAGTATTTTCTTCCTGTTCTCTTCATCTGTGAGAGGTGACTCACTCTTATGGTTTTCTCCCTTTTTACAATGGTTTGTTCCCGTCATCGATGATATATAAATCGACGATTTCGTTGATAAAAAACGCTCTTTCTCTTTCGTCCACTGATGTTCCCTTTTGTGAGCTCCCTCACCCACTAACACACATTGGTTATTATTGTTTTCAGCAGCTTCACTTGGGGTTTAACCTTTCGCAAAGCTATTCTTCGCTAGTCAATTTTACGTTCATACGTAGGTAATTTAGTGCAATCCTTACGACTGCGGCAAAGGTTAGAGAGAAATTCTCTATTTTATGATATCCATCATACAGAATAATTTAGTGACTATCATTCTGTCCTGCTCTCTCTGTAAAATTGAATTGGAACAGGAACCAGTGTGTGTACTGAACTTGTCCGTTTCTAGTATGTGAACGAGGACTGATTTGTGATTCGTCATGCTGTAGTACTCGCTAGCCCATATTGAAAAAATGGTGAGCAACAAAAAATAACAAATGAACCGTCATAATACCTGTTTTACATAGATAGCTCCATGTTACTTATATTACAAAGTGTCCATCCTCAGTACGTCTATCCACTGTTCATCACTGTTCCACAAAGCTTTTGATCGGTACTGGAAATATGAACGCATTCATACGCATGTGTTTCTACTCCACTCTCTAAAACAAAACGCATCAGTACGACCACAGTTGCCACACGAAACATCTCGTTGGCGTGTACATGTGAATGTGGATATCCTTTCTACATTCTCTGTTACCCTCATTCTCACATCTCCCGTTGTATATTTCAGATACATTCATTATCCCAAGTCATGGCAAAATTTAAAAGCGACCGAGATACACCCGTCTGGCCAGCTAAGGAAGAAGAACACTACTTTCGTGATCTTGTCGTTGCACCACTCGATCAACGAGGTCCCACCTGTGTGTCCACCTGTCTGGCCATGCTTACTGGCAAAAGGCCCGAAGATTTCCAAGGTAAAATCAACACGCAAGATCCCGTTTCGTGGTCAGCTGCACTTCAACCATACGGAATGAAATTGGCTTATTGTCCTCATGATGCGCGGAAATTCAAGTTTTACATCGAAGAACTGATCGCCCTAGATGATTTATTTGGTCTCAGCTTTTATACCACTACAGATCCAAACCAGATTTTGAACGATCCAGATAGTACTGGCTTTGTGACTCAATCACATTTCATACTGCTACATCGAGACAAGATCTATGATTCAGCGGGTTATGGATGCATTCCGGCACGTGAGCACCGCTGTCTCGAGTATCACACGAAGCGCATTTTTCGGGTGCTCCCGGCTACACATGCTCGTGGTCTTTGAGCTTCGGTAGCTCGCATATGAATGAGCAAAGGACAAAAAGTTTTGCGGCCTTTCAAAATTCTCTGCTCATTGAAATACAACCGATTCCGTCTAAAAGGAACTAGCCATGCTTTTTCATGTAAAGAAAGGAAACAAATAATCTGTTTCATAAAACAACTTAACTCGCCTGAGCGACAAGACGTGCACTTTGAAGGCGACCAGCGGTTTCTTCGGTGGAAAGGATATGGGCGAATAAGGCTGTTTTTCGACCCCCATTATTTATCGAAGATTTCTATCCAGAGAGAATCAGTCTTCTCTCCTGAGCAAAATGCTGCATAAAGTTCTTCCGGAAAGCGAGATTTTTTTCGACCCATCCACGCCCTTCGGCTGGAGTACGGGGAAATCGAAAATTTTGTTCACACGCTAGAGATCTCGTGTTCATGCAGTTAATTAGAGTTTCGAATGATGATTCTAGGTTG